TCTTCTTCACGTTCACTTGAAGTCCCGTCTTCCTTGGCTGCCCTGCCTCTTCCGTCAACCTGTTGCATTTCGCCTGTAGATCTTCAAATATGTGCGACATTAGACACAAGTCATCGGCGAAATCTAAATTTTCTAGGATCTTTTCTGAGGTCCAGCATATCCCCCTCTTCTCACAGCTCCTCGCAGTTTGCTGCACGATCCAGTCGAGTCGACCACAATCAGGAAGATCATGGGTGATAGTAGGCAACCTTGTCTTACTCCTTTCTGTCTTCACTTCAAAGGCATCACTGAGCTTCCCATTGTGGATTACTTGGCATGTGGCATCTTCATATAGTTGTTGAATGAGAGTGATAAAGGTTTGTGGTATTCCGTAGTATTGAAGCAGTTTCCAAATTACCTCTCGGTCGACGCTGTCAAAGGCCTTCTCAAAGTCGATGAAGTTGAGATAGAGAGCTGACTGCCATTCTATACTCTTTTCTATGATGATGCGAAGCGTTGCAATTTGGTCTGCACATGATTTGTACTTCCTGAATCCAACCAGCCTGTTCTGGTCGTAGTTTTGGATCCAGCGCGTCCCGCAGTTTCGCCAGCATGATACGGCTTAATATTTTGCTCGAGGTGGACAGAAGTATGATTACTCGCCAGTTCTTGTAAACACTGAGGTCCCCCTTCTTTGGGAGTTTGACAAGGTAGCCTTTCTTCTGATCAATACGCAGGTACCTTTCCTTCCTTCCAGACCTTCTGCAATAGTGGTGTAAGCACGTCCGCTCGTGATGTCTCTGCATTTGTTTTCAGTGCTTCAGGCGTGATTCCATCTGGTCCTGCTGCTTTCCTGCATTTCAGCAGCTTTATGGCGTTCAGGACTTCAACTTTCGTCGGAGGGTTTGTGTTCACTTATAGTTCTTTGGCTAGGCTGTAGGTGGTATTTCTGAACGAAGTGCAGGTGGTGGACTTGAGTATATATGTTACAGTTTAATTCATATATTAATCGAGAAAAAAAATAGCAAAGTGAACAGACTCAACTTTCGTGGTTCTTCGCATGCTCGTAATCGGCAACAAACATGCACGTCTCAGTAATCAATTTATTTTATTTGTACGAATGTATAAGTGAACTGTTTTCAGCAGTCAAATGCCATTCCATAGCTACATGTTAGACATCAACTTGAAGTAGTCTACGTGGTGCAGTTAAGTGGTTTGGTTATTTGAGCTGTTGGACAGGAAAGTCTGAGATGTTATGTTTACTGGTGAGTACAGGTAGAGTCAAGTTACGCAATGATAGTTAGCCTCCTCATCGCTCTGCTAGATCAACCAATACACTGTCCGAGTTGACTTAGCGATAAATGTGGTCGACGAGAAACTTAATGCGGATCTCTAAGGCATGTGTGGTCAGCTGACCGTCAGGTCTCCATTCACTTAACTGAATTCTGGTAGCAGTGCCCCATAAGAAAGGTAAGGGAATCCAGTTTCCTAATTCCGGTAGTCACTGTTGTTGAAGTAATCCCAAGACGAGTGTTTGAGATTTTCCTTGCGAATGTAAATGGTATCCTTTCCGGAATGCCGGGTATCTTTTGCTGTCGCTATGGCCCAGAGAAGAGGAGGTCACCTTAGAAAGTGGTCCAGTCTATTGGGTCCAAAAATATCTGTGCATGATAGCTTCCAAGGAGGTATACTGAATCACTATCTGCAAGATTATGGATAATCAATGAGGCGTATCCCACACACGTCTGCCCATGTGGAGGTGAGTGCCGTCAATAAGCCGATTACCTGATGAACGTGGATATGTTGAAGTGTAACAGTTGAGAGGGAAATATTCATTGATCAATTTTCCGGCAGCGTTAACCAAAATGCTCTGGTAGGAGTATTCATTGAAAGGTGGTTGCGTTGCGATGAGATTTTTCCCGACAGATGAGGGGACTGATCCCTCAGGTTATTGAAATGATAACGTTCAAGCAAACGAATATCCGGCATGGAACTAGGAGTTGAGCCGAAAATTCAAGTAAACTGTAACTAACTAATTTATTTTACTTGTACGAATGCATAAGTGAATTGTTTTCAAATTTTATCGAAATGGCATGTTCTAGAATGATCCATACGAGGAAGGATTTCTATAGTAACACATGATTATTTTGGCAGCCCGCCAAACAGTTCACACAAGCTCAATCATACAGCATTAAAATTCCCACTTTTACCCCAATAGAAAGGGCTATCGTAACGTGGAACAGTAGTAGCCAATAGGAACATTGTTACACATGCAATCCCATTTTATGACTCATCGCACAAGGTCATGCATAAGTCACATGTCTGTGCGAACAGGTGGAACGAATAACCCTAAAGCTGACTTTACCAATAGGTTAAATAACCAATTAGAGTTCGTTATTCTATGAAAATCTACCACCTTCCAAACGAAATAGAGAAAACTAATTGGCTAATTTTGGTCGCTACTAGCGTTACTTTTAGAGTCAATCGTCACAATTCATCAGGCATAAAGTATATCATGAAACCAAACGCTGGTAGCTGTGTAAACTGTTCATGTTTCAATGATGAAGGACTTCAAAGGTCAACCTAGAAACTGCTGAAACAACCAATCAGGTTTGTTTATTTCACTTCGAAAGGCAGTTTTTCATCAGAGTAACTCTTGAATGGTTAGCAGTTAACTAATTTACTAGCCGGTCCTAAACCCGGATAAAGAGGGAAGGTTGAGCATAGGGCTAGCAACCCTACCCCGGAAAACCAATCTAACCGCTAAACAAACTTCAAAGCACAGACAAAAAATGAAAGTAAACTTATTCCTCAGTGGAATTGGGGAGACGAAATGACGCCAATTGGTGAAACCCTTCGGGAAGCCAATTGGCCAATGTCTCGTCTGTCGACGAAAGTGAAAGTAAGAATAAAGACATAAGGAAAGTCACAATCATACAATGCTACGCTACGCACCTACAAATAATGCAGATCAAGAGAAGAGGGAGGAATTCTACAGGCAACTGCAATCACTACAGGATAAAACTCCAGTTGTCCACATCAAAATTCATTCTGATGGATGACATGAATGTCAAACTTGGAGCGGACAAAACAGGAAAACAGCTGATCATGGGTCGAGAAGCACTCAGTGAAATGAACGTGAATGGAGAATTGTTTGCAACAAACCAACCAAGAACATATCACCCAACAAATATGCAGAAGAAGAGAGTGAAGATGGACTGGACTGGACTGGACATATACTGAGAAGATCATTCAGGGACATCACGCACTAGATTAGGCGGTCAAGTGGAACCCGCATGGAAAAAGACGAGTTGGGCGTTAAAGGCGAGGGTGACATAGAGGAGATGGTATATGAGGAAGAAATGAAAGCTTATGAGCAGTGATGGAGCCAGGTTGAAAAGACTACAGAGAACAGAGTGGAATGAAGACGTGCTACTGAAGGTGTATGTTCCACTAGGAACCCAAAAGACAAATAATAGTAATAATAATTTTTAAAAATGCAACCCTTCTATTTCATAATTTTGATTTCTTCTGATAACAGTGTAAATATAAAGCGGTTTACTTAGACTACTCCACAACATTATGCTTCCTACAACATCTTATAGACTTATTTACATTGATTGATTAGTTGGAAAGAATGAGAGAAGCAATAAATTCTAATGTTATGTTTTTTCCTGTGCACAGGGACACACATACTAGTGGTATTATTCAACATTATTTGATGTTAAATGGTTTATGGCTTTCGTCAACTACGATATTCAGCTGTTTAACTTACTGATCACATTGAAAGTTTGATAAATATGATTCATATAACAGCCAACCTCAAGATATTCATGAATGTCATGTCATCTTCATAATGAAATAGCGTGCTTCGAAACAATATTCACCGTCAACACCACCACCACCAGCTAACTGGATGATATCTCACATGTACTTGTCAGCAGGTAAACAGGCAAACGAGATTAGAATTCATGATGACCTCACAAAGACCTAAACAACACATCATAGACTTTTTGAAGTCCGTCATCATCAATATCAACATAGGTTTAGGCAGTGTTGTGTAACTGTTTGGGTTGTTCCACCTCATCAAATGACAAGGCAATCAGACGAAAAATGAAGAAAGGAGAAAAAATAGTAGAAAGCGGTAAAAGAGGTATGAAAAAATGATGAAGTCGGTATAGCGATTTGGAAAAAGAATCTATAATCACTGGATTCAATTGCAATATGGACGCTAAACAGCTAATCTTTATCTCTTTATATGGTTCACATCAATGGTCAAAGACTTCATGAACTGATGCGGCTGCAAGCCTTTTTTCAAGCCTGAAACTACTTCAGCTAATAATGCGCAAGGCTATGCAACAAGTTCTGTTATGAGTTCTAGGTCTATTGTGATGAAGTCTTCAATACGTTGATAAATAGTTGTATTATCCTTGCCAAAACTACCATTCACATGATGATTTCATAGCTATTTAACGGGATAAAATGAAGTGTATCTCGTCCTTTGATATGTTGCCCGATATCTCCTCAGTTTGCCACTGCTGCCGAACGGGTCTTCTGTATTCGAGCAAAGATTTCAACAGAGTAATAAAATACCTTGAGTAAGTAAAACATTCAATGCATCCTACCACTTCAATTCTTATCATTAAACTGAAAGTAGCTGCCAATCAGTATTGAAATATCATTGAACATTCAACAGGTGCAAAACACATACCAAACACAATTAAACTTCTGCACTTTGTCATCGTCTTCCTCTTAGTAAGACAATATAGTCTACGTATTACAGTTACAACAATGCACAATCCCTATTTTGAGTAGACAGTATTAACTAAGTATGCTTGTAGCGTCATGAACCGGAGAAACCTAAAGAAAGTTGTCTCTCTCATCTACCTACTTAAACATCATCCTTTCAACTACAGGAGGAGGCAGCACAGATGACCACGTCAAAACCACGATTCGAAAAACAGCAAGACACACCTCCCTTCAGTCATTATTCTCATATCCGTCTGCAGATCAACTGCACTCACAAATCCAGTCAACTAAGTCAGTCCTTCCATGTCATGCTTCACAGACTAGGCACTTTACGAAAAGCATTTCCAACAAACTACAGACATTCATCAACACCTGTCACCTACGCCGATCACTCCATACTGAAGATCAGATGGCAAGAATAAGAATAAGAATAAGCAAAAAGGAACTCTGGGAACCAACTAATCAAGAACATATCACCCAACAATTATGCAGAAGAAGAGAGTGGAGATGGATTCGACTGGACTGGACTGGACATACACTGAGAAGACCATTCAGGGACATCACACACCAGGTCAGGCCCTTGAGTGGAACATGCATGGAAAATGACGAGTTGGGCGTCCAAGGCGAGGGTGACATGGAGGAGATGGTGTGTGAGGAAGAAATAAAAGGTTATGAGCAGTGGTGGAGCCAAGTTGAAAAGACTACAGAGAACAGATTGCAATGGAGATGTGCTACTAAAGCCCTATGTTCTACTAAGAACGCAAGGGACAATAATCGCAATAAACAGATATCTGTCTGTCTATTGGAAACGAGAAAAAAAATGCGATTGTAGGTAAGCAAAGACTTTCTTTTCTATATAATCATCCATTCAGCTATACATTCGCTAATAAAGTAGAAGATTGCCGAATAATTTATGGTTAAGAGTCAGAATATATATTGAATAAATAAATAAGGTTATGTAATATACAAGTGACAATTTATACATTTATGATGGCCATGATCGGAAATAATTCAACAATCTTTTACCCTTTGTACTCTATACACATTCATCGGAATAACAAGAAAAAAGTATTTCGTCACTGTAATCATTTATTTCGCCTTTTACAAGATGTTTCCAGTAAGCGAGAAATTGGTGACGATAGATAAGGTGTATAAAAAGTACTTTATTTCATTGATACATAGAGAAATTACCCTTTATATAGATAGATATGTAATGATATATGTGCAAGTGTTCACTGAAGTAATCGATGTCCAAGTTAACAACCACAACTCATATACAGATAAATAAGTAAATTTACTTATTTATTGTTTACAGTATGATACATACTCGTCATTTGAATGAATATTTATACACTGATTTTTCAAGAGAGAACAAAATACACATCTAGGCTCTTTAAAACTACAACGGTATACAGTCTCATGCTATGGCATAACTACACAGGTGCCTTCATCCCTTCATAAAATTGTTTTTTTTATTGAAAAATCGCATAGGTAAGTTAACATAATGCGAGAGAGATGGATTAGTAGGGTTAACAAACATATGAAAGAACGAAGGAAAAAAAAAATGAAACATAACATGAATTTATCAGAAAGACAAGATTAAACATTTTCCAAGTTTTCTATTCATTATAGACTGATATTATTTATAAGAATATTAGAAATATATAAGCACTGGATGGCTGTTTCATCCCAGTATTTCACTCTTTAGTAATGTACATCCATGACACCACCCCATCAGGGATCGAACCCAGAAACAATGAATTTCAATTCAGTGTACAGAGATACACACTACTGAACACTTCCCTCCTCCCCTATTTCTAATATTTCTCTCCCTACAAACCCCCCACCCCCCGAAAAAAAAAAGAATTCAAAGGAATAAGGATGTTCACAATTATACTCCGTTTTTTTAATAGCATGTCAATAGGATTAGAGCTCTAGCTAAACAATGGAATAGAATAGACATCAGATCATTACTATGATTTGTAACTAGATGTCGGGACAATCAAAGAGGCTGAATTACTACTGGGAATAGATCCCAATTCATTTCGACTATTATTATTATTATTATTGATAAATGATGATGAAAACTTTCGTATTGTCTCTAATTCACCTGATAAATTTATATTAGTCTGCCAGATATCATAATCACTTGTATCACCACCACCACCACCACCACCACAATCCTGTAATACAGAGTTTTCAATAAGAGTTATATGCGCTACATATAAAGTATAAATGAAATCAATAAGAAAAGTGATTATCAATAGAATAAATGTTACTATTAAATAAATTTTTGTTGTAAACAATTGTGTATATAATGAATTGATAAGAAGATGAATACAACCAGATGTTTTTAGTATATTAGTTGAATTATCATGTCTAATATAACATGATAATGGTAATGTATAATGTTTATCATTCATATTGATTGGTTTAACTGAACTCCTCCAATCAGTATAATTTATTTGACCACAACATTGAAATGTTATTTGTATTATCTCCCAACATATAAATGCTTTATTGAATAGTTTAACATTAATATAACTTATTTGTGCTTCTATAAATGTACTAGACATTTCTGAATAAAATAATTTCGTTATTATTTGAGATAAAAAATTCTCTACTAATATAATACTAATTATTATACCAATTAATAAAATAATTAGGAATATAAATATAAAATGAAACCAACCTATTTTACATTGATAACATTCACATTTACTACATGAAGATGTATCCTCTAGTATATCATTATCATTAATATAATATGATAGATTATAAGATTGATAAACTGGTTGATTATTATATACACTATTATTATTATTATTATTATTATTATGAGAAAATATAATAAAAAACCATATAAAAAAGATAATAGATAAAATTAATTGTAAAATAGATAGACTAAATGATAACCAAAATACAGTATAAATTGCATGTATTATAGGACAATTTCGTATAGGTTGATTAATTATACTAGTGAATAGGATAAGACCAACAATTCCAGTACATAGAAGAGTAAGTATAAAACAACCATGTAATCCTTTAAGAATGTTTAAATGTTTTACTAAATTCAATCTTGGCATGAATTTAATCAATCCTAAAAAAAAATAACAGTACAAGAAATAACAACAATGAAATAAAGGAATAATCATTATCAATATCAACATAGGAACAGGCATTACTGCGTAACCCTCCGAGTTGCCCCCACACGTCATATCACTACATCAAGTAAAAAAGTAGTGAGGTGAAAGATGAAGATAAGAGAATACAGTCAAAAGAAACATAAAGCACGAGAAGAAATAAAGATAGAATGAGAAAATGGTGAGATTCGGGATAGCGTCCTGGTTCCTCTTGTCCCCCCTCCACCAACCCCAACCACCTAGTCTGCATCGCCCCACCCCACATGGTTAAAAACCAATACTCAAACACTTCATACACTCATGTCATGTTTTAGTCTGGTCACCTCAGGCCTTTGTCCACACTGGACCTACTTCGGCCAACATTGTGTGATGAGGCAATCGGGGACTACGCATACGTAACACGTGTCCCAAACATACCTAAAACTCTATACCTGACTTCTGCATTATTCACGTGGTGACACCACGGAATACGGCATAGCCTATACTACGAAGGCAATGGTGGTCAAACACTTGAAGCCAGCCTTCTCATGTCTTCCATCTTCAATGGCCATGTTTCACAGCTATACAGTACAACACACCTAACTCCCGTGCAGTACACGCCACCCTTAATAGACAAACGGATATCACGGCGGCTCCATAGGTGGTGTAAGTTGGCGAAAGCTAATCGAGCCTTTTGCATCCGTGCAGAGATGTCATCGGCAACTGACTCACCAGGGAAAGTTAGCAATGATGGATATTGGCTAGCAGTAGAATCCACGATGAACATTTCGTTCTATCCTTAAAGGAGCCCATATGCCAAGAGACGGCAAAATACAAGTAATTATACTAAAACCTATACCCGTCGCACAAGAAGTGAATGTCATGGATCGGTGGGGTGGTGGATAACCCTTTGGCGCTTAAAGGAATCATTCCCGAGTCCTAATCCCGCTGGGAACAACATCACTCACTTGGAGCCGGCAGGTACATTCAGCTGACGAGTCCCAAACAGGACGAAATGCGCCTCCTGGATTCCACTGCTAGCCACTATCCATCATTACTATATAGTTAAAAACGTAGGTAGTATCGATGCATCTGCACAGGAGTCCATATACCAATAGAGACCGATCGTAGGAAGTTGGATTAGGTTGGAAGACGGTTCACAGTGGGTAGACCAAGACCTGACACCAGTTAATAAAGTCCCTGACTGTTGATATGAGTCCTGTGGGGGAAATGTAGACTACCCACCCAGTTGTGGTCCCCAGAAAATAAGAATCAGGGTTAAAGACTCTTGGTGACATGGCTGAAAATTGGTCACAATGGTGCAGATTTGTTTATTCTTTGGCATATTTTTTCTTTGTTTACTAATGTAAAGTGTAGCAACTTCAGACCACACACCTGTACGCGACATTCTACACTGATTTTACCAGTCAGTCAGTAACATGCCACCTACACCAACATACTAACTGCATATGAGTTCGTGCATTAAAGATTGAGTCAAACCTATTGTATGACATTCAACAATACTCTATCCTACCCAGATTAAAACACAAATAATGCGGCTACTGAACAATAATTTCACACACGTCAAGATAGAACGAAAAACGCACTATCCAGAGCCACAGGATGCCCATTTAATCCACCACATTTTGTAACAGTAAGCAAAATATTGAACTGAACATAGAGTGATATGAATAAATAGATAACGAATATGTTCACAAGTTAGTTCCGAATGAATCGCTGTGACTGATTTTCAATCACATCACACTTTCTCCAATCACTCATTGATATTACTTCGCAGATCCATTTCAAATGTCTACATTCTTACATCCATGTAGTGTTTCAGTCTGGTTTACTCTGAGCCTTTTACAACCCTATGGGTAGACTTACTCTGTTTGACCTGGATCTCTCACCTAACATTCATCCATAAAATCGAAACATACTCACCAACTCAATTCACATTCATGCAGTGGGCGATGAAAAACCAGAAAATTGGATTGCCAAACTTCAGTTAGATGAGGTGGTTTACGAACCCATGACCAACTAGTTGAACCAATAAGCCACAACTCCACAAAACTTTGGCTAACAACTATGATTACATAACTGTATCATCTACCTAACAATTACCTTTAGTGAAAGACAGATTACAAGATTTTCTGATAAACAACAAAACTAATTATGTCGAGGAATATGTAGTCTGAACGGCGAAATATAAGGCATTAATAAACTGTTTACTGGCACTAAGTACCAAACAGATATGAGTAATCCAGCTCCAAAAGAGATTTTCTGTTGTGTTCTCAGCATATAGGTACGCAAAATATAAGCATTCCTAAACAAATCATCTAGCACATTCATCATAAGAACAGGTGTAAATTAGTTTCTGTGTATTAGTGATGCGACTATATAATCTGTACACCCTTGGGTGACTGGTAAATGAGAATGGTAATGAGAAATTACAGTCATTATAACTTTTTAATAGGACGGAGTAAAGAATAGCAGTCAACTCTCTACCTTACCTCAACTTCATCCACTTTGAAAAGGCCTTACACAGTGTCGACCGAGAAGTAATTTAGCAGTTGCGGCTTCAACACTACGGAATACCACAAACCTTTATCAACCTCATTCAACAACTACATGAAGAGGCCACATTCCGGCCAAGTAATTCACAATGGGAAGCTCAGCTCAGTGATGCCTTTGAAGTGAAGACAGAAAGGAGTAAGACAAGGTGGCCGCCTACAATCACCCATGATCTTCCGGATTGTGGTCGGCCGGACTGCATCATGCAAGGAACTGTGAGGAGCGAAAAGATGGGTATATGCTGGACCAATGAAAAGACCCTAGATGACTTAGATTTCGCTGATGATTTATGTCTAATATCGCACAAACTCAAAGATCCACATGCAAAAACAAACAAGTTGGTAGAAAAGGCAGGGTAGCCAAGGACGACAAGACTTCAGATGGACGTACAGAAGACAGAAGTGGTGAAGGTACCTAACCACCACCACTAACAACAATAGCAAGTACCAATCAGCATGAACAGGAGAAACCTAAAGAAAGTAGTCTCTCTCATCTACCTACTTAAACATCATCCTTTCAACTAAAGGAGGAGGCGGCACAGATGACCACGTCAAAACCACGATTCGAAAAACAGCAAGACACACCTCCCTTCATTCATTATTCTCATATCCGTCTGGAGATCAACTGCACTCACCATAAAGCATGAACAACATCAGGATTTGAAACACAAATCCAGTCAACTAAGTCAGTCCTTCCATGTCATGCTTCATAGACTAGGCACATTACGAAAAGCATTTCCAACAAACTACAGACATTCATCAACACCTGTCACCTACGCCGATCACTCCATACTGAAGATCAGATGGCAAGAATAAGAATAAGAATAAGCAAAAAGGAACTCTGGGAACCAACTAATCAAGAACATATCACCCAACAAATATGCAGAAGAAGAGAGTGGAGATGGATTGGATTCGACTGGATTGGATTGGACATATACTGAGAAGACCATTCAGGGACATCACACACCAGGTCAGGCCCTTGAGTGGAACATGCATGGAAAATGACGAGTTGGGCGTCCAAGGCGAGGGTGACATGGAGGAGATGGTGTGTGAGGAGGAAATAAAAGGTTATGGGCAGTGGTGCAGCCAGGTTGAAAAGACTACAGAGAACAGAATGCAATGGAGATGTGTTACTAAAGCCCTATGTTCCACTAGGAACCCAAGGGACAAATAATAATCCCCCTAAACCAATGAACCACAGTTAAATATGCGAAATGACGAATAGGTCATACAAACGTCTTTAGAATATAGAGATTTAGTTAATAAATCTTAGGCAATCGCTTCTGCTGCCTGGTAGATAAGTACGTAAACCATGTGAAACATTACACAATGTACGTAAATATCTGCAAAAGCCCCTATTGAATCCACTTGGTGGGTAGCGTCTAGTCAGTATGCCAGTATTGAAATTTATATCGGTTTCATTTATCCTTTTGTCAATCACGTTACATGATTTCTACTTATTTAATGTACACAACTAGCCTCATTAGAGTAATTTAACTAATAGATGAACATGTTAAGGATAGAACCAGGTTGTTCTCATTTACTTTTCGTACATACGACTAGTTGAGCATACCAGAATAAACATACTCCCAAAGATATAAAAAATTCCTCTCAAGAACCCTTCCCAAAGGTTGATACAGCATCTTATGATGGTTAGCCTCATTATATCCCTTTTAGATAAGTCTGATAAGTTTAAAAAAATCCTGAAAATATGAATAGGCAAGTATGAATTACAATCCACTGTGGATAGGTAAAGTATTCTTGAACATATCACCTTTGAATTTAAGTTCAAGAAGGTATATTTCTGATGAGTTGCACCAATCGAATTTTTCTTTACTTCAAGTATATATTTAACAATGGACTGGATTGAGTAACCATTCCGACTATGTAGGTTACAGACGATGTCTAGCTTGTGGTGAGAAAATATTTCCATTGGTGTAAAATACAGATGTTCATTGCTATTCCTTTCTATTTTTTGCTACTTACGAATTTTTCGAATCTATCAGTTTGGTGGAATACTTCAACTGCTGATTAACTCCATTATTGTTAACTACAATACAATCATCCACTAGAGTTTGGAAACGCTACAATGGAATTCGCCAAGCTTAGGAAAATACGTACTAACGGTTCGCCATTTGAAGTCAAAAATTACCTCTAATACTTCCATCTTTGGTGTTTATCAAAGAACCTGCTTAGTAAGAAAATAAATGTTCACTTTATCACTACAGCCGGTCGAGAACCAGACATCTTGCATTTCCTGAGAAGTCTATCTCTTCATCATACAAAAAAAACATCGAAATATTCTAACGAATCATTGTAAAGTGAATTATTTTGAAACCTGTGACAGATCCATTCATCCATCCAAATCAATATAGGAACAGGGATTACTGAGTAAAGGTAGTGAAGTCGAAGCTGAAGATAGGAAAATTCAGTCCAAAGAAATATGAAATACTCAAAGAGAGAAAGTAAGAATGAGAAAATGATGAGATTCGGTGTAGCGTTAAGATGAGGATAGTGTGTGTATACATTTGCGCTACCGATATCGATTCTCAGCCATATCACCTACAGTCAGTCTCCAATCACTGGTTTTTCTTGTCCCACGGATCCCAACCGGCTAGTCTGCATCGCCACACATGGTTCAAACCAACAGTCAAAGACTTCACATATTGATGCCATGTTTTAGTTTGGCCGCCTCAAGGCTTTTCCAGCCTGAACTTACTTCGGTCAACACATTTCCCAAATATCTCAGTCTATGGAGGTTCACAACTGTGTCAACTGACTTACCTCTTCTCCCTGAAACTCTACGGCCGTGACAGCTCAATTTAACCGGCTTTGTATGATCCAACTCACAAGACTCGAGAATTTTTCCAGAAGCGTAATCTTGATAACCAGTTACACACTCAACCACACGATCGTCTAACAGTCAGTGTTATTATTCTGAAGCTTGGAAAACAGTTGGCTTGAATACCCTCTTGTAAATTTCAAAGTGCCGAAGACCTAATTATCACCTACAACTATATCAATAATAACTATCCGGCTGAGTTCTTATCACAGCCTGATGGAATTCTCTTCACAGTTTTATCATGAAGTTGTCAATTGAAAGAAGACACACCATCTACATAGTATACATTGCGTGTAAGGAATACCAAATACACTTCACCAAGGAACTCATGAGGAAATGACATCAAATCATTTTATCTGTGTAGAAAATTCCATTTACCTAATGCTGAGTGACATAAACATGGTAAAATTGGGAACAACATAGGCATGACTACCTACAGTTTCAATGATTCGTCCCGTATGTCAAATAAAATAGGATAACTATCTCTTGTAAACGTTGTCAACAGTCATTCCCATTTGGTGAAAACTTTCAACACCGAGGCAGGCAAGTTCTATTCATTCATTATTGAAACTAGAAATTTACGCGATTACCACTTCATTTCGGATGTTTAAGAATAAATTATTACACTTTGGATTAAAACAAACACCTGCAATATTTCGGGCAATATCTGGATAGGATGATGTTGAATCTGACCTAAAATGATATTTTAGTTGATGATCCAGATATTGAACAGAATAAGGGACGACTTTTAAAACTGTTCAGGTGTTTCTGCAACAAAAGTGTAGCAGATAATCTATTCAAATGACAGTCTAATTTGACACCGTCATTTCTAGGATGTACCTTAGATTCCATCGGTATTAGGTTTGAACTGAGTCGTCTAGCTCCACCGATTTAAACACCTTCACCGATAAATATTTCCTCTTTCAGATCCCGGATTAGCACGTCGCACTTCCACTCCAGACTCACCCCCAATTTCAGGTAATTATCGTCTCCACTTTTCAATATTGTCTCCAATCAGTAATTTGTGCAGGAAGAACTCCATGGAAACACTTTATAGTTTCTGGATAATAAAGCTTTCATGAGACCTCCACCGAAGGACAAGTATGCTGTCGCTACAGTCACTTCTTCAGTGAGCATATCTGTAGTACTAGAGCAAAGTGAACAATCTGTCGTTTGTATTTCAAGGCATCTAACCACGCATGAACAATGATATCCTCAAACCCTGAAAGAAACACTAACGGTTGTTTGGGCAGTAAGGCATCTTCACAAGTATCTGTTCGTTACGGAATTTCATACTTTCACTGATCATCAAGCTTTGAAAATCATATACCACCAAGAAAAATCCCTGTTATCTGCTGTCACGGCTCAGAGGTGGAATTTAGAATTGAACCCTTATGATTATGCAGTTAGACACAAACAGAAAACGTTCACCTCATCTGGATTTCTTATCACGCTATAAATCGTTTGACATTCCTCTTTATTGATACTGACTGTTCGTTAGTTTGGCTATCACCAGTTGATAGAATATGACTTAAATAGGATACCCAGAAGTGAAGCGGAAGTATCACAAATCCAGAATGGTTAGATAGCCCACTGCGAGCGACGAGATGAAATACCACTACATCTTGAAGGATTCTGTTTGAACAACAGAATTGTTACCCGTAGTATATTGAGATCTGTTCTATTGGATGATCTTCATTATGCACACCAAGAAGCTGAGAAAATAAAACCGATGGCACGCCTTATATGCTGGCGGCCATGCTCTGAGTCTTGTGAGACATGGAAAAGCATCTATGTATATTAATGAGATTCCTTCTGAAACTCATACTATGCCTTAGTTGTGGTACTTTTTTCCAAATGAACAGAATTGATACTCACAGACACTTCTTATGTGAAATTCACATAGTGCGATGGGAAAGATTTTCAGCAGCGAGGGGATACTTGGTGCCTAAGTAACTGACAATGAGACTAATTTTACTGAGAACCTAATTGGTTGGCAGGGAGATACTGGCAGCCGCCATTGGCGTCAAGTGAGCCCTAAATTGACGAATGGTATGGCAGGAAACTTCATGTGGACATTCAAAAGTACCGTAGCACCAGTGAGTCTAACCAAGTTAGGAAGACTGAAAAAGTGTATGAATAATTTCCTACCTCAGCAATGGAGTGTGAAACACGGGACTACTGACAAAAATTCAGCTAAGGTCTTCAAATCCCGAGTCTCTCGAACACATTAGATAATGATGACTTCGTCAAATGAAAACTATTATCGAGGAAGTGATAATCGGCTTTCATTGGGAATCATACTGTGGGAAACAGAAAATTGAATGGCGAAAACTCTGAACTTAGAAGATCGTTCTGTCTACAACCGTCACAGGCCGGTTGAAAATTGATCAAGCAGGTTATTCTAGTGGCAATTCTAATGATTTCCTTACCCATCTTAATTTCGTAGATAATTCGAAGATACAGAGAGATAACATCAGTGAAAATGTTAATAAAGAATCAACAAGAAGATTTACGAGACTTGCGAATAAATCCAGGATTCACTAGGAATATCTTAAATGCAGTGGATACGGTGAATGGTTAGATCAGTTTCTATACTGTACATAGTTTACTTGTTATTTTCTTCTATTTATTGCATTTACAACATAAAAATACCACTTATTACTCATTCTTAGGTTTTGAGTATTCGGTATTACAACTCAAATTCTAACAATTCCGTTGACAGTAATTACAATCAAATTATCTGTTGCACGTACGTGACCGTACGGCCAAAATCATCAAGAAAAGATCTACCGTACGATCTGCCCCAGCCAGCATTTACTTCGGGCGCACTTTGAAACTTTCGGGCTAAAACCCGAGAATTTTACTTCGGGCTGTGCAGTCCTTATCACTGCTGTCTTAATAATCGTAATGTAGAAAAGATTCACAGTATATGCTGATTCTTAACCGAACCCAACGAATAACATACGACAAGCATAACTGTATGCTAATTATCATTTAAGTGCAACCACATACAAAGGGAGGCATAAAACTTCAATATTTGGGGTATTCTTCACACAATTATGAATCAGTCCCAATCTTACTGAAGCCATGAAAGCAGTAAGACCATAGTATTTCAAGTTCTTAAGCTTAAGCAAATGTAAATGCAACCACCAAGCTTACTTAGCCCGGAAACCCAAGTTCATCTATCTGCTTTTGTAAATACCGCATGCTTCTGGATACCATGGTGATCCAATCCAATATTCCAATATTGATAGTGTGAATGTAGAAAACGGATAGTTTTTGATCTTTCTCGTCTAGTTCTTAGGTCTTGGTTTAGTTTTTTGGCTCACTCCTGCAGTAGACGAAAAAATCTCCTCTGCTTTCTTGTTTTTAGCTTCTGTGAGGTAGATGTTTTGTGGGTTAGTAAGTTTCTATTTGTCGAATGACTCGGGAACTACGGGTTGCTAGGAAGGTCAGGAGACTATCGTGACTCCCGTCTGTATTGGTTCCTGAATGAGAATAGTAAGGTAAGGGTAAGGAAATGAAGTATTTTGCAGTCGCCCGAAGGGTAAAAGTAGGTAGCGCAGGCCTATTTTCCAGAGAAGAATTTATAGGTAGTGTGGTAACGCGTAATGCACAACCTCACGCAACAACAATGGTGGAGTGTCCGTAAACAACCTTCTGCTTTGTTAACTTAATGTGGCGTGGTTGACATTAGTAGTCAACATTTTGTTCAAGTAGTCTATAAGACAAGTATTTTCAGCAATAATTTCATTAACGCCCTTCACTTAGTGTATTATTTCTAAGTGGTTAGACTCGCCATGCATTATATCAAGTTGTCTGGCTGTGTTACATTGAGCGTGTCACTACTAACCTACTGTGTGTCAGCTGACTTGCAGTGGTTGTCTGCGGTATCGTCACTCTGTGCACGTAAGTTATCTATTTATTATGTGAATTTAAAGTGAATCGGGTGTGTTCTGAAAAGTGCGACGCTGCTAACATCTGAAGATGCGTTTCATGCGGTGAAAATGTAGTTGGAAGGTTGAAGGAAGGTTGTAAGTTTAGCCATTTTGGGCATGTTTACACATACTTGATTCACCTTTTGCCTCATTTATGTAATGGGTGGTCTCATTGTTGATTACGTGGAATTATAGTGGTCAGTCTGCAACCACACACTGCCTGTATTTTTATCCACACTGGAAATGAGAGTGTGCATGCTTCAGAGCACTTGTGCTCAGCGGTGGAATTATTGTATATATGCCGCAGGAAAATAATATGTCTGTATTCATTGTGACAAACGTGTGTTTTCTAAACACCGCAACTCAACAAGGGATGCAGTGAACCTCCGTTTAGCCTCTCAGATACCTACCAGCAAGGTGCAGCTGAAAACTCATCCGGACATCAGGCGTTTGAAATAAGTGAACCCAAAAGAACTAATGTATGGGAGTCAAGATGGCTACTTTCGGAGTATTTGTATAATAACACAATGAGTTCCTGATAATATAGAGTAGGTAGAACGCCATCATGACAAGGAACTTAGAAAGACGCGTGTAGGTTTTGTGAGTGGGGACGTAATGAGTTCCCCTGCTTTTAGCTTAAGTGGCATGAAAGCTTAAATGAATATAGCTTTGGGTGACCACTGAAATAATAAGAGGAGACAGTTTCAGAAACGTTTTACCTTGCTTTCATCATGTAGTTCTCCGAAGTTTACGTGATACACCTAGTCTGTGCGGTGGGCTGCAGTTATGCTGCATAGGTAACACCTACGACGACAGGTGTCTTCATGAAACCACGAGGTTAAAGGTAAAATGAACTTGCAGCAATGCGCTTTGAACTTCGTGCATGTGTGACTGGCGCTTAACGTCACTCCTACTGACTGCACGTTAGCGAATACCCCCGTTCTACATTACGGGGAGAGTATCCCAAGACGGGATCAAGAAAAGAGAATGTCAAGGGAATGGCTGATGGACATCTGCTTCAGTTATGTTCAATACGTTTTTCCGAAATACATATTTCCAAATGAAAGAAAGTGCGTTTGCCTCCGCCAGTGCCTATAAATCATGCTAGAACTAATGGAATCGAGTAGCGTTAGGCAAGTGCCTGTAGAGAGGCTTGTGTGAACGAGTGACTTGTTTTGATTGTCTAGATGTCTTTGAAAATGTCGAAGCATCTTCAAAAGGTGTGAACTCGTAGACTTCTTCTCTATGCAGTGCGGAATTACTGATAACAAACTGAAGACCTGCAGCCATGGGGTCATCAGGGCTTTCACCATAATGCGCGCCTGCATGATAATCAATCTATGCGCGGAATGATGGTTTTCGGAACTGTGTCGAACAGTGTTTACGCATCCGCAGCACCCCATAAGTATACACGAAAGAAAGTTGCAAAGAACTGAAGTGTGTATCACAAGGAAAAACAGCTTTTTAAATCACATGGTAAAATGTCTGTGTGAACTTTCGTACGTGAATGACAATCAAATAGGCAGGTTGAACGTCGGTCACCTGTAGGAAGAGAAAGGGTGTGGACATGTTAGATGCTGTACGAAAAGTGTTCCTGAAATCGAATTTCGGAAGGGAAACATGGGCAAGCACCGGTTTACGTGTTATTATCTACTGTTCATGCAGTAAGGCCTAAATGTACAATCCATACGGTTATCCAAGTGTAAAGAGTAAGTGGAAGTGAGACGGATTTACCTGTTTGTAAGGGTTCCCATCTATACTTAAAATGGTGGTGGGTGGAAATGCCAAGATGGAAAAATAGGTAAATGTAACGGAATGGAATAAGTGAGAAGCATGCGATTCATCTTCGTGCACTTGTCTGTCGGCTGGGTTCGCTCCTCTATCTGCTGAATCAATGCAGCGTTTCATTAGTTTAGTGGACTGTATTAACATAACCTGTAAACTGGTTTGTATTCGTGTAACCTCTGTTGTATGAAATATATTATTATTATTATTAGTCTAATGATAGACCCCCCGTCCCACTCAGGACCTGTGAAATCTTGTAGATTGTTCAACATATATCAATGTGATAGTGCCTATAAACTGGTTTCTTTCTTGTAAAACTGATCTGGGAATAAAATACTTATTTAAGTACTGTCTTCGCATTAACATAGAAACCAGGAATTGGGTATGATAATTTAATGTACCGCCTGGAGAAAAATAGAGTCTGAGGTCAATACTTCCTTTGTTCCACCTTGCATATTTTCCTCAAGAATAATGAAGAAAACTTCATGAATGAATATTTGCATGTCGTACACTGGTTATTGCTCATTACAAAGTGCAGAACTACGTACTTCACACATTCTCACACCAGTTTACATCAAAAGTCCATAGTTTCGCTGAACATTACGGCTGCTAGCAGATTATATGCATTTTTCTACTCCAGCACCAAAAAGTAATAGGTGCGTTCGGATGCATCAGGTCTCAGCCATTTTCGAGGCTGTTGTGAACGTAATAACACACCAACCAATAGCGGACAATTTTCGCGGAGATTTGTTTCTTGAAGTAACTTTCAATTATGTCCAAGCCAACATTCAGGACTGAATCACTTTGCTACGGCAAGAAATAAAAACAAAGCAGCTGGCAGGGAAAAGAAGCAAGAATCAAAACAAGGAGTTTGTTCCTTGTGTGCGGGTTTTTCTTTAGTTGAATACGTGGCTACACTGCAAGGATTTCACCCCAGTTGTGCCTCGATGGCCATCGCGGGACTGGTTCAGCCCTCGTCACCGAAGAATCTTCGGCACCACAATTTCGTCGCTACACATGACACATGATTCCATAATCAACAATGTGTAGCGGCAGTGGTTCTACGATTTTAGGCTTTCCGCGTGCTGAAATGTTGGCTATTTTGTCTTCAGAAACCTCTTATTAGCCTTAAGTGCCTCATCCCTCTCAGTTGCTGCTCTGACATCTTCAAAAGTCGTTCCCGCGCACCGTCCGGACATAAAATGCCAGAGAATATATGATGAGTTTTACTAAAACTAAGTGCTAATGTGAGAAAGTACTACAAAATCTCATCACTGCCATCCGAATCGTGACACAGTGTAACTATCAAAATTATCACGATTATTACTCTTCATGGAAAACTCCGCTGACTGACATTCTCCTAGCCTTCATAAGGTACTGCTGTGTTCAATCACCCTTCGTTTTCTCTTCCGTTCTGCAGACGTTGCTCTGGAATCAATCATGGTGAAATTAATATCCCACCTGTTTGGACTACTGAGAAGAAACCACATGTATCTCCGCCTAGCACCAAGTGGACGAGTACTGGAGCAACGCTTCACCCCAGAACATCAGTGGATTTACTATTTTCGCCCAATCATGAAACTATATACTCAGGAACCACTACTTAATATCCTAATGACGTGCTAACCGGTGATTGCACATCCGGCGAACCCTCCACGCAGTCAAACCTGTGCTGCCTGTAAGCTCAATAAAACACCCATATTTATCAGGTTATGCAGTCTTTATGGTCATCCTGAGTTCTAAGCACCACCTGTGACTACCTGCACTTTTGTAACGTGGGTAATGAATTTCCCCTTCTCATTTTGCACTCTTGTTTGTTTATTGCCTAAAAAGTATGATTTTATGAGTTCTTACTTACTACAAAGTCTGACCAGACTGTCGTCATTTATAGATATTCTCCTGTACTGAGCTTACAAGGCGATTATGCAGACAATTTTTGGTCACTTATATGGTGTGCATGTTATCATCCCTCCGCGTTTAAAGTGAGTTATTTCCAACAAGGCATAAAACAGTTTTCTTACATTCTTTTCTCTTGGAAGGTACAAATGAAATTCATCCTGGTGAAAGGTTGACATGTGTGTACACATATGT